CCTAAGGTGCGTCTTATGCTCCGGTGCTTCTTATAGTCCAAAAAATACGATAGATTTTAAATGATATCAAATGTACAGGTACTTCAATGCTCCCTGGATTGCAGACAGGCAGGGCCTGGAGCAAAGCCAGAAACACATTTTTACAATGCTCACACTCTGCCTATGCAAGGTTGATTGGGATTTAAATAACCAACACCCACCCACCCAGTGCACGAACGCACGCACAGAGACACACACACACACACAGTTGCTGATGTCCTCCCAGGCATTAAAACAATCACATGGTCTAGAGCATTTATGATAATAAGTGGTATCTAACTTACTCTTTTACTGAGGCAAATCACAGGCCACATACTACAGCCTAAGGTACAACAGCAGCAAAGGCAGCCGCAGAGTAACCATCGGACATTAACGGGAAGGTTCTTCTTAAGACAGCTGTTCACTCGGCTGATGCTGGCTTTGAACTCTTCAGGTGCGACCTTCAAGAATGAACCCAGAAAGCAGGATGATAAATATATATATATATATATATATTTCTAAGGCTTGGTATGCAGTAAGAAACCATTTACCTGCTCTAGCAGCAGCATCAAATTCCACGTGTAGTAATGTGTTAGGAGTTTTATTAACTTTACTTTCTTTCAAGATACTTACTTTTCCTGTCAATGAGGAAGGGAACTCTGCTTCAAATTTGTTGCTCAGCCCAAACCTACAAACAAAATAAAGACATTTTTTTCACTCAACTTATTAGGACAAAGAGATTCTTAATATTTTGTTAGCATAAAGACATTTATGGCAATGCCCAAGACATGTTAAAAAAACATTTGTAAAGAACTACATTCTATAAACCGTTGCCCAAACAGGAGGCCAAGGGAAGACATTTGCCTTCTCTCACATTTGACATATCTTAGCGCAGCAAGTGCAATTATTAAACACAACTCATGCATAAAATTGTGTAGCAATTCTAAATGAAATGTCTTCTCAAGAATCCATTTGAAAAGTACACTTCCAGCTGTTTTAAAGATTTCAGTATCTTGTATGGCTTCAACAAAATCAAAGTACACATAGACACAACCTAAGGGTTTTTGCTAAATTTCAGAGTGCCATTTTTTTAACATGAGATTGGTATTTTTTCTCTCTTAAAATAAATAATAGTTTAGTTACTTAACTGAATGATTTAGTTATTAAAGGACCACTTATTCTCATGTGGATTACTCTGTCCTTTAAGATCAGTGATTGGAATCCTCTGGCATGTAATGTTGCCCTTGCAGAGCTATTCCAGTAGATCAGTGCCTCATTTTATGCTGGTTCCCATCAGTTGCTGAAGAATTATCCTTCAGCAACCAGCTTTTTATTTACACATCATTAGACCATTAGTTTTCATTGTATATATATAGGAAAATAGCATCATGCATGTCAATATATACCATGTGCACACATATGGAGGGGGGGGGGGGCTGAATGAAACGTAATGCTTCCATCGTCATATTTAGTGTAAATAAAAGTATTTCAATAAATTGAAATGATAACTTAGGCCACCTGTATTTCTTTCTACCCATGATCATCACCATTGGCCACACACTTTTGCCAATGATGGACAGGGTTCTTAAGAGGCATCATGAAACTTCATATTTTGGTCCCTTCGATCATCTCCTTTTCACCTCTTTGTTTGACTAAGATGCTCTTGAAGGCATTCTTCCAATTCTGGAAAAGGGTGGAAGATCCATGTGGCTAAGCACAGACTTGTGTGGTAAGAGGATGAGATTCAACCTGGTTCATGCGGTGTGAAGCCTAGCATTACCACATTGCAGCAAAGTTTTCTTCTTGTTCCTCAAAAGTATCCTTAGTCATTGTTTCAAAGTTTTGAGTGCTGCAGTATGGTGCTCTGAGCTGCCAGGTTCAACAGCGTCCAAGTTTTGAATCTTTTTCTACAGGGGAAACTTTGTGATGATATTCCAAGGGCAAGCACTTAGTTTCTGGATGGTAATGATTCTCCATCTTCATTCTTATAAATTGAAAACTGTTGGCAAATTCCAGTTCCTGAGGGTTTTGTTTCTGCCGTCGGTATGTGAGGCGCCCATCTTGCCCAAGCCTTCTGATGCCGAAGATCAATAATGTTACCCATACATTTTTGTGAAATGCCAAACTTGACAACAATGACCCTTTGCTGTACGATGGACCATTAAGCCTGTGCCTCAATCTTTCTTATGTGCAACTCGTTGGTTGCTGCCACTTTGTTCTTGATCGTATCAATCAGTTCTTCCCAGTTCTCATGTTTACATCTAGACTCTCGTCAACAGTCATTACCATAAAACAATCTGTACATGGCAGTGAATTCTAATTCAGCAGTTAAAAATTACATCACAGTGTGATACTTAAAGCAGAATAATGAGTACTCATAGCAGGATTCCATTTCATGAACAATAGTCGCATAACCATTTCTCACAGCAACTTCTCACTAACTGAAGTGAAGGGATATATACGAAATAACATGACAGAACCTCTGTAGAGCTTCAGGATGTCCATCTGTTGGAAACATTACTTTTCACCCAACCCTCATCCTTGCAGGGATAGTATAGTATAGCCTTTATTTTCACTGTACAAAATAAATACAACGAAATTGGTTTTAGCCCACTGGTGCAATCCACGACAACAAATACAAACAACATAAATAGTATAAAGAATAATCCCCATGCAAGTAAGTAGGGGAAAAGAAAAACGAAAGCTAAAGAAAAACTAGTCATGTGTTTCTGGGTGTGCATGGAGTGATTGCGGTTGTGTTTAAGAGTCTGACAGCCCAAGGATAGAAGCTATTTTTAAACCTATTTGTTCGTCTGGCTATGCTTTGATGTCTTCTGCCCGATGGTAGAAGTGCGAAAGGACACTGACCAGGGTGTGAATCAACTCTGAGTATCTTATTATGATGTTGTTCTATGTCCCTTTACTCATAAATAATTTTCCATATTTTAAGAAAATTATGTGGCAATTTGAAATCTTATCCAGCAGTTACATTTCTAATTATTAAGGTTGCCTGGGTTTGCTGCACCTGTACCTCAACAGGTGGATGCACCTAGCCAATCTTGCAGAAGTTTGGCAACTAAGCAGTTTTTGGTCTGGTTAGTCTGTGAATGGGAGATCAAAACAAGAGTAACAGGCCTGTAGGAAGGAATGGGACAACTTGGCGCAGCTAACTCGCTGTGACCAACTCATCATGTCCAAATTGCCACGGCCAACCCACCGCAGGACAAGTCATTGTGGGACAATTCAACAATTCAATTTAAGTATTTAAAATTATTTAAACATTATTTTAATTTTTATCATTCAGAGTTCATAGCAATAGCAATAGCAATAGCAA